CGGAAGACGACGCTCTCCCACCCGGGGGAGGATACATCGCACGCCTCCCCAAGGGTCTTCACGTCCCCCACGCAGATGGCCGGAACCTCCAACTTTGCACCATTTTCCCCTGTGAGGATGCGGAAGGCTTGCTCACGCCCGGCGCCGGCGTTGAACTCCGTCAGCGGCAGGTGCGCCAATATCGTCCGTGAGTGGGGGACGCGCCAGTCGGGCACCCAGCTCGGCACACCCTCGCCCTTTCCCTGGACTGCGGAGAGGAAGTCCAGCCCTGTGGTCTCGAGGAGGAGCGTCGCGAAGTTGGTGTAGACTGTCTCGACGGGGGCCGTATAATTCACCATCCGCCGCCGCGTTTTCTCATCCTCGATGGCTTCGACGGCGCTGGCTACCCTCTCGAGTGCCTCCCCCTTCCCGCGGGTTGAAGCGTTGCTGGCTTCGCCTGAGAAGAAACCCGAGCGGCGGTAGGAGTCGATCTGCGGCCTGGTCATGGGGAAGGGGTACAGCGCCAGAAACGCAAACACGCGGTCGCGCGGGTCGGGGGCGGAGCAGGGCGATGCCTCGCAGAGCGCTTTTACGAATTGGGACGTGGTGAGGGTGGAGATGTAGCCGCGCTGTTTAAGCCTTCGGATGGGTTGGAGGATCGGGGCGTGGAGGGGGAGGAGGCGGGCTGCGAGTGAGAAGTTGGATAGCGGGACCTCGAGGGCGTGGTGGATGATGACGGCGTTGCGGGCGCGGGAGAGGTGGAGGATGGAGAGTGTGGCGGAGAAGTATGGGTGCGAGAAGAGGGAGTGGAGGAGGGCGAGGGTTGATGGGGAGGGGTTGCGGAAGCGGGATGTTGCGATGTAGGTTATTGCTTCGGTGTGGTTGGTGGGCGAGAGGAGGGGAATTGTGACGCGGGTTGCGGCGCGGTAGATTGATGGCGTGAGCAGGAGTTGGGAGCTCCGTTCGGAGGGGGAGGAGGCGTTGATGCTGAGCTCCGGGAGGTAGAGGGTGCGCGAGCCGGTTGAAAGGCGGAGGGTTGTGAGGGCCTCCGCGGTTGAGTATGGGACTTGGAGCGGGGTTGGCGATGTCGGGGCGAGGATGGGCGGCAGGACGGTGATTGTCGATGTTGTGTTGTCGTCGTCGGAGTGTGGTGTGAAGGAGACGGCTTCGTATGGAGGGGCGTCGTTGCGGTGGCAGGTTAAGATGCGGCAGACGAGGGGGTCTGATGGGATGGTTGCGGGTTCGAGGACCACGAGGCGGATTTGGTCTCTTTCGAGGTGTGTGTAGTGGTAGGATGAGCTACTCGTGGTCGCTGCCGGGCTGGATGGGCTTGTGGTGGGAGTTGGCGATGCCATTCTTGGTGTTGAGGGCGTTTCCGCGGCCACGTGGTTATGCGTACACTCGTTGGACCTCATTTTGGGCAGATGCTGGATGCAGGAACAGAAAGACAAGAAGGAATAGCAACAATGGAAAGCCACCTCGTGGAAGGAATACGGGCCCTAGAAGAATGGAAACGCGCGAAGAAGACGCCCTCCAAGTTTTGTTTTGGTAACTTCGAGGAGCTTGCTACTAGTGGAGAGGAACAGGACCTGACTAGAGAAACAACAATGATAGACACTAGGCTGCCACGTTTCGCGGAGATGCTGCAAAACGCGGCGCACCGGCCTTGGAGATGGGGATTCACCGAACACTGCCACTGCAATGTTTTCCCACGGGCGCGGCGCGCGCGACCGACCTCACGCTTACCCGCAGGATGCGCCATGCACGAGGGTCCGTACGACGGATTGCCGTCTTACCTGCTGGCTACCAGTTACCGTTGGGGGTGCTAGGCCCAACGCCGAGCGGGCGAAATCTTGTAACCTTCTAGCGTGGTTTTGGTGAAAGGGTCTGAGGTTTCGAAGGTGTACCTACGCCTAAGTGCCGGTTGTGGCTGCAGACGGTAGTGGTGAAGCAACACGAGAAGAGACAAAAGAAATGTGGTGATCGGACCCCTCTCTTGGGGGATGTACATATGGTGGCTCTCGGGCCGGGGGCCGGAGCCGTTGGGTGGCACTTTACTGTTGTTGGAGAGGTTCGAAACAACGTTTTGGAGAGTAGGGCTGTGCTAGAGGAACGGCCGGGTGTTCATCCGGGAGTTCATGCGATGGGAGATTTGATGGGATGGGTTTTCCTGTCTTCCGTTCTTTGGACCGTGTGTTTTGGGTTCCATGTTGGACTGGGTTTAGTGAGAGATCAAGCCACCTACGGTGTGGCGGATATGAAAGACTCTAGTCAGACAGCTTCAGGTGCAGAAACAAGCTTTTTCACCATTCATCCTCTCATTTCGTTATATCTACCTGGCGAAAGACAAAGTATCTTACATGAATTATCGGTGAGAATCGGTCTCAGATATCAATGTCATGACATGACACAGGAGCCGCTCTTATCCCTCTTGTGGTGCTTCGGAATGTGGTTCTCCAGCGCGCAACACAGCGGATGCGCGTTCGGCGCGAAGCACTCCGGCCCCATGTCAATCACCCGCGCCTTTCGGTTCGCCCAGCCCTCGCCGTAGCCCGCCGTCGCGTGGTACACGCAGTACACGCGGCTGCGGTCCCGCGGGTTGGGTAGGAAACTCGCATGCCCCGGCCCGAACGGCCCCCCGCAGCGCTTGTGGCTTTTCAACAACGGCGTCGACCGCTTCGCCCACGACGCCGGGTTGAGCGGGTCCTGGCCGACGAGCGGGAGCAGGCCGAGCTTGTAGTGGCTCGTCCAGCTGCCGTCAGCGGAGTAGACGATGCCGCGGAAGACGCCGGGGATGTCGACCCACGACGGGCCCTCGTTGACGCCGCGGCGGCCGTCGTCGGGGCGCTCCCACTCGAGCTCCGCGCGCGAGATGCACACCAGCGTGTCGCGGATGGCGTGCTCCGGGTCGGCCATCTTGATGAGGAAGAGGTCCTGCTCGGTGTCGGAGTGGTCGCCGACGGGCCAGCCGCTCCAGCAGCAGTAGAGGTCGCGGGTGTTGGGGGAGAAGACGGTGGCGTCGATGGACCAGTGATCGGGCATGCCCTTGAGGGGCCCGAGGAACTCCCAGGCGGAGGCGTCCATGGGGTCCTGGGACGAGCAGCGGAGGAGGGTGGTGCGGTGGCCCGGGTTGCCGACGCCCGGGGGCGCGCCGCAGGTGTAGATGTACCAGCGGCCGTTGAGGTAGTGCAGCTCGGGGGCCCAGATGTTGACGGACCAGGGCGTGCCCGGGGCGGGGTGCCAGACGGTGGACTTTTGCGGGTTGTGGAAGTGTTCGAGCGTCGGCGAGGACCAGATCTCGATGCGGTTGTCGAGAGTGAAGGTGAAGTAGAAGCGGCCGTTGCCGGCGATGATCCAGGGGTCGGGCGTGTCGATGTTGGCGATGATTTTGTTGGACATGGTTGTGATGTCTCTCTTCAATTGACTATGCCGAGCTTGAGTGTGTTTTCAGAGTCGGTAAATGTCGTAAGTGGTAATGACCGTCAGGGGCTTCGTCGTGTTTGTCTTTGAGATTGCAGCTTGAGAAGCACGTGGTTGAGAAGTCAGAGTGAGTGTGAGAGTGAGGCTTGAGAAGAGGCTTGTGAAAGAGAAAGAGGAAACGCCGTTTGGGCCGCTGGGCGGGAACGTCACTGGCGTTTCAGCCATAGTCATCTGATGTTTCGGCCCTGCGGTGAGGGGATCTACAGGGACCGGGGCTGGGGTTCGGAGGGGCCTGAAGAGGCGTTTGCGTCATTTCTCCGCATGCTCGGCCCCGGGTTCGTGAACTTTAAATAGCACACGCCGTCTCTGATGGGTTTAGTCGGGTTAATTAGTCAGTCTTGGAAGTTGGATTGACTTTGGGGCAGAGATTACAGTACACTTGGTGATGAGAAGGGAGGTACAGCATTATTTCGTTGAAGCTGGTAACATTGGACTCAAATTTAGCTCTAGCGAATTGGGCGAACTTAAGAAGCTGACTTGTTAGCTATGTACAGCAAAACCTCCGGTAACTGTTGAACTACCGTCTTCTCTAGAAGGCATGATGCAAATCTTCATGGTAGTAGGTGCACAGTAAAGAAGTACAGTGACTACATCGCGTCGTTCATCGCGTCGTTCATCGCGCAGTATCAAGCGTTAATGCAGCTTCTCCGGGGAATTCCAGTAGTCTCTTGCCCCATCGACAGGCGGTTCAGCATAGGGGTTGAATGAGATATTACTTACATGAAATCTACTTTAAATAGGTATCAAAACGTTCATCTCTCCCATGAAGTCAGACAACCGGTGATTCCATGAACTTAAGGACGTAGAAAATGCGGTATGTTGCATTGAATCTTCTGCAAAAGAGGGATAATCCTGGAGAGTATTTAGGAAACGTAGAGACTACAAGGTTTCAGGCCGGTAAGGAAATCAATGATTGAGGAGCTGAGCACATCTTGGGTAGTCCTGCTGGTCACTCAGCACGACTGACCCTTTTCAGCTCATGTTACATAACCTAATAAATGAAGACGGGGAATTTTCGCGATAATCCAAGGAGCTTTCGCATACACTAACCCAGATCGTGATCTCAATAACATCCACACGTCTAGTTCAAGCTTGTTAATATGAGAAGTATGACACGTTGTAAAACCAAATCGACTCGGATGTATCAATAATCAGACTAGTTGCGTGAACCTACCTGCGGGGTTCTGCCATCGATAGCGGGCGTAAATCAGCCACAAGACATGAAATCAACTCTCTAACCTGCTGATGAGCCGATGATGTTAGTATCCTGCACATTGCCGTTCTTACGCTAAGTAGACTATTTGTCATGAAATTTGTTTTTGCGAAAATAGTAAGTCCGTGGAGATAGGTAGAAGCTGACCAATTCCTAGAGCGCCACAGTCGATGTTCACTAATCTCGGAATCTCAATTTCATATAAAATATGCCAGCGTCTAGGTACGAAAGTGCAATTATTCACCACACGGTATTCCTTCCTATATCAAAAGAAACTTTTGACACGTCAACTCAAATACAACAGACCATAATCGAAAATATTGACAAGATGTCTACTCACAAAGCCCTCGTCATCCACACGCTGCAGCAGCCTCCGTCAATTATTGAACGGCCAACTCCAGTTCCAAAGGATGACGAAATTCTTTTGAAAGTATCGATTGTTGGATGTAAGTTTTCGTTTTAGTTGCTGCTTCTCCTTTCTGTTGGTTGTCAAGCCATGCTAAACATCGGAAGTGAACCCCCATGATGCCTCAGGAAAAAGATACGGGTTGTTCATCAAAGACAACTTGCCCTCGCCCCTGGGAGTAGATCTCGTTGGGGAAATCGTTAGCTGCGGCCGCGATGTTACCCAATACCAGATCGGCGATCGCGTTTTCGCGTTCGGCAGTCCTTTTTCTGCGGACAGTACTGGCACTCAAGAATACTGCGTCGTACCAGCATGGCAGTCAGCCCCGCTGCCGAAGGCCATAAGCGCTGACGAAGCGGCGACTTTCCCGCTGAACGCCATGACCATGGTATTTGCCTTGTTTCACGAGACTGGCTTGAACCTGCGCAGTCCTTTTGGTGCCGACAAGGATGAATGCGACTACAGCGCGGAATCAATCCTGATCATCGGTGGTGGGTCTGCTACAGGCAACTTTGGCGTGCAGATGGCTCGATTAGCGAAGTTCGGAAACATCATTGTGGTGGCATCGAAAGCAAGAGAGTCCCAGCTTAAGGCTCTCGGGGCCACGACTGTTATTGATCGCGCCGTGGACGAATCTCAGATTGAGAACCAGATCAGGGACGTGGTCGGAGATGATCTGGTTTTCGCTGTGGACTGCGTCGGGCGCGGCCCAGGCGGGCAGACATTGGGCGCCAAGGCTCTTTCCAGCCGCAAGAAAGGGGTTTTGGCCGCGTTGATTAAGCTTGGCGACGTCGACGAGTCTCGAATCGGGTCAAAGTTTGCTGGCTACGTTCGCAACCAAGTGTTGTGTCACACGACGAAATATCCGCATATCACAAAGGAATTTTGGGGTGCACTGCCAAACTTGATCGAAAGTGGTACCCTGCAGCCGACGACTTTTCAGGTTGTGGACGGTCTGGACGTTGAGACGGTCGACAGTTTCCTCGACAACTACAGTCGCGGTCTTGGACAAACAAAGCCTCACTTCCACTTAGGGAATACCTTCAAACAGTGATAACAGCTTGTTGAAAGCTTGGAATACTGCTTAATGTTCTATCCGCTTTCTAATTTAGTCAACTTACATACTTTTGGAACACCTCATTTGGAACTTTTGAAGACCACTCTGGAGGAAAAACCAACGTTTCACTAATGAACTTGATTGAAAAGCCCCAAAGTATCACTGGCATTATGAAGATAGGAACTGATGCATTTTGTGTCTCATCCGGGACCTGGCGCAGCACTCGCAGAACGAATAAGACAATCAGCAGCAGCGCGCACGCAACTAGGCTGAAAGTCTTAGATATTTCTCAAGCTGTGCTTTATCTGTTTTGAGCATGTGGAGACAAAGGGGTGCTACTAGCGTTGCTTGGAGACGTACAGCAAATATGAATAGTTAGATTCCCTCACGGGGTACCCTCGTATTATTCTTTTCCAACTCTTCAGGCAGAACTGTGAAAAGCTTCAAGGGGGAAAACAACTAATGAATATCGCTAGATTGAAGACAATCTTCCATCAACCTCAAACTCGTAGCTGCAGTCGTTTACTCTTCTCAATGAATTCCACCACCTGGCGGGCTATCGAGAAAGGCTTCGGTTTCGGTGTGCGCTCAACAACTACTGGACTCCAGACTGACGCTCCGACTATGGTCTGAAAGCTCACTTTGACCTCATAGTCGCAGTTTTCTAACAGCGAACTAAGGACTGCTTGCGACTCCGAAATGGTGCAGAATATCTCTTTGTTTGCATCATCCTCGATTCCCTTGGGTAAAGCGCTGTCTCGAAGAGAGCTGTTTAGTCGTCGATATTTGACCAGAAACCCCGTGGTTGGTATAATCTCGCTCTCGGAGTCCTCACGCCCTTGGGCTAGAGTCACTGTAATTGTCTTGCCATCGACGGATAGACATGGGGTAGAAGGAGCTTTGGGAAGCATTCCGTTGACAATTGAAAATCTGCCCCGATTGTCGAGAATGATGTCGCCAACTTTGGTGCTGACCTTTTTCAGGTTGCCAGGGCAAAAGGCGGTGTCTATACTTGCAACTCCAAAAGTAACGGGCGGGGTTGCGGGTGATCGCTTCCGCAGCTCACACAGGGCTGAAAAAGATTCTTCCACAAAGACCTTTGTGTCATCGTTCTCGAACCACTCTTCGTCCATATCATCTTTAGCCTTTTCGGTGTTGGAGTACTCGGTGCCAGATTCTATTAAGTCTTGAAGCGGATGCTTCTCCATCCCGATGGAAAGACCTCCTAACGAGAGGAAAAGCCTCGGAGCCGCGCCCCCTGTGAGGGATTGAACCTTCAACGCTCCTAAATGATTCTCGAATTTCTCTGCAGACAGAGAAGCAAGCGTTGTCTCAAGAACATTGGCCTCGTTTGACTTCTTATCGATGAATCGTTTCGTGGTCCAAGTATGTTGTCGAAACAACTTTACAGCGGCCCGGAGAGCCGTGGCATTTGTGTTTTCATCCTTGGTACCATCTCGAAGTTCAGGGAGTAGACGACGTGCCTCTTGTTCAAATTCGTTTTGAGCATCGGCAAAAGCATCCCGAAAGTTGGAAATCTGGCGTCCGATTGCCGGGAATTCGCTCTGAAATAAATCTTTGCTGATGAGATCCCGCAACATGAGGCCTGCCATGTTGCCATCTTTGAGAGCGGCGGCCGTCTTAGTGACGAGGCTACTGTCCAGGCTTCGGATAATTCGGCCTGCCTTCCTGTCGAGAATCGAGAGCGGCAGAAGCGTGCAGGAAAGCGCGTTCGTTTGCTTAGCCAGAGTCCTGGGCATTTCCCCAGCAACCCTGCGGGCATCCTCGAGGCTGGAAACATTCTCAGCGATGGCACCGCTGTATGAAATCTTAACGTCGTCGAAGAGAGCCTCGTTCTTGGAGGAGAACTCGACCTTGTCCCCACCACTGACAGGGACATTGACAACGCTGACCTTAAGCTCTCCTGCAATTCTGCGGGCTTCATCAGCCGAAGAACAGGCCTTCACAAAGCTCAGAGTAGCGCTTCCGCCTTCGACGACTTCGGCGACGAAGTGAGTGTATCGACCATCGTCGAGATATTGGCTGTATTTCATAGAGGCCAGGACCTCTTGAGGAATCCGACGGGTGTGACGCATAACGGTGCACGAAGCGTCAAGACGAGCCTCATGGGCAGTGGACTTTCTGTCGTTAAGGAACTTGGCAGACCCGACAGCGCTGCATAGCTTGAGGTCAAGGTTCAATGAACCCTCGGTGTCGAGGGAAATGTTGTTTCGGGCTTCTTCGAGCGAGTGAGAAAGGACAAAGTCTGCATTTTGAACCTGCTCCTCGCTCAACTCTGGCTTCGCGTTGACCACCGAATTATCCCAGAGAGAGACGCCGCTGAAGAATTGTGAGGTGCGCACGTCGTAAAGCATGCCAAGCTTGATATTCCGCCCGAGGGCGGGCTGCGAAAGAGAACTGTCGTAGGAAAAGCCCATTTAATCGCGATTGAAGTGGAAAGGGATTGCACCTGTAGTGGTACTGCAGAAGTTGCGTTTCCACAGATTTCAAACAGACGACGTCGATGGATTGGAGGTCCATGAGGCAACTTTGTAAGCAACAGGTAGCCCGCCTTCCATGGACTAAAACTCTAGAACACAAAGTAAAATACCCAGTACAGCTAGGATAACGTGATGGCATCGGTTGCGTACGATTCGCTAGGTAGTTCTGGCTCAACAATTCACACATGACCGTGTGCAGGTAATGGGGCATTGCGCATCCGGATGAAGGCTCAGGCATATGTTGTAATACTTTGTGAAGGATGAAACAACGGAAATCTAGATGAATTCCATCCTTTGACAGGTGTGATGAGCTGAAGTGAATGGCTGGCTGGGATAAAACAAATAAGCCATGGCTGATAGTGTCTCACCATTGACCATGCAGCTCCGGCACGAGGGCTGGAGCCGCACCGGTCAATTCCGTTTGCAGCTGGTAATTTAAGGCTCAGTGAAGACATGCCAAGCCTGTCTTGAACTCAATGACAGGTTACCAGTGACTCCAGGCATACATTGGAGTCATTCAAGCTTACCTAAAAGCAAACCTACACGAGCTAAGATGGCTTGGATAGCCAACAGCCCCATGGAAAAGAATTTGCCGACTGCATGAATCGAAATGCGTCTGAGCTTGAAGACATTGTGGCTTTCGAAAGAAATTGGAATTCATATGAAAGCAGATCCATAATCACGTTTGAGTGAATGTGATCCGCAAGGTATGTATTCAAAAGAAAATGCGACGCGTATAAAATTGAAAACTCAAATATAGAGATGCATCAACTTCGGACCCAATCTCAAAGTTGATAGACCCAGATGCTGTTGTGACCCGTGAATATCATTTTCCATGAAACTCCCAGCAGGGGCCTTCTTGCCAGCGCGGAAGCGAGGAATTGTCACTTTAAACGCCATTGCCGGGTCAAAGAACCCCATCCATACTATGTCGTTCTGCGAAACATTGAGAGCGTGTGAGACGGTCTCTGCGGACAAAAGACCGGAATCCTTGACAGCGTCATACGTCGACTTAGACTCGAAGATTGCATCTATCGTAACCTCGTAGGGGCCTGCGTTCTTGGACCGCAGAACCCGTGAGATGTCAGAGAGTGTCTGCGGTGTACGTTTTGCTCCCTCGTGGCTGTTTATAGTGGGGCTCAGTGACAGTTTATGTTGCTTCGGTATCGTCAGCTGCCCCTGAGAAGGGTTTTGATGACCAGTTTGTCTGGTATTGGGTTTGTTTGGATTGCCGATGGTAGCCACAGTGGCGCGGATCAACTGGGACCCAAGTCGCTGCTCGCCGGGCTCAAGGTCCATAAGATGATAAATGGAGAACTGGCAGCAAGGGCCAGTCTCGATCTCAAGTTTCCCCGCGATGCCAAAAGCAAAGTTACCGGACGTCGCTTTTTGACCCGGATAAGGACCGTGCTACGGAGTATGTCAGTCGGGAATACCCACACTCCAACTATTTAAACTCACAATCATGCCGATCCTTGCCGTAGAGACAAGTCCGGTTGCCAGCTCCTGGGTGGGTGCAACGGCCTCTGCAACGATAAAAACTTCTCCGGGACCCAGTGGGGTGCTCTGGCCCTGGCCGTAAGTGTGAAAATCGAGGTCCCAGTGTCCAGGGATATTTGGATGTTGCTGCTTGACATATGCCTTCACAAGGGAAAGCAAATGGTCCAGCTGGTTGATAAGTATGTCTGCAGGTAATCAGCCATATGATAACCAAGTTCTCGTCATGTCAACTTACGATCTCTGACACTTCCCAGGACTATCGATCGGTATCCCAAAACCTTTGCACCTTCTAGTTTGAGTTGGTAAGGCTGGCCGTTCGTCGTAGAAGATCGAAACTCAGCCCCACGGACGCGAACCGTCCTGTCATCTTCAAGTTGTTCGTACTTGGCGCCGTCAAGATGGAGCGCACCGCCGGGACCTCTTAGAATGTCCGGCCTAGTGTTCTCATACAATGAATGCGCTGCCACTGAAAGGGGCGTGCATCTTGACTCAGCTGCAATGGGTCGGACTTCAAATACACCGTCTTGGTAGATGGTTGCGACCGCACCATGCGACTTTGGCGTGGAGCATTGCCCTCCGCACTCCATAATTTTGCCCATGTGCAGGAATCCGCCGTGCCTCTCTCCGAGCTGCTGTTCGCTGAGATTTGGATGTTGCCGCTTGAGCTGGAACATGGAGTACGCAACATAGGGAGCCGGGTCGTATGCGCGGCCTCCAACGATGATATCAAAATCCGGATCAGCTTCCATCGCATCGATAAAAGGCTCCGGGCCGACTTGTGCAACGACTCGCGGAGTAGCTTCAACATCGCCTTCTGTGAGGGCTGGAACACAGGTTCCACATCCAGTGATGCGGCTAGCTTTTAGTCGGCCAAAGACGATGGTTTTGTCGATACCGGAGAAAATAGAGATTGTCTTGAAAGAGTAGTGTCTGGTCATGTCAGTCAAATGGGATTCCCTTCCAAGAAGGCAGCTACTCACTCGTTCCCCTTGTCAGCCGATATTTCAGCAATGATCTCTTGCATCAAGACAACATGTTCATCTGCCCCGTCGCCGCCGGCAGAGCCGAAGATCAACTGGACACCAAAAGTGTGTACGAGCTTCAACAGCTTCGTGAGATCTTTGACATATGCCGAACGTGGACAAGTCATTGTTCCTAGGGCCAGTTTCTCTGGCCCGCTGTCTGTTGAGCCTGCGTCAAGAATGATCGCAGTTGGTACCCCCGTGGGGACGAGCTGAGCAAGTTCAATCGCCACGAGATCTTCGTCGAAGCCGTAGCCCATGCAGCCCACAGGGGCCACAATGTGGCAGATAGGTTCGGGGTTCATGTCTTGGTAAGTGGTAGAAATTGACATGGTAGGTGGGTGATTGAGGTGCGGTCTATTGGGAGAGAACATTGGGGTAGAGCTAGATCGAGTGAATGATTGCTTTCGTGGAGAGTAAATCTCGAATTTTGATGGTAACAGTTCCCCTGGGTTGTGGAAGCAGGCTGACAGCTTTTAATCTCGAAGCTGAAGATCATAATCCGGCGTCAGCTTGAGTGCGACGTGACCAACCAGCCGGACTTGATGTCTCAAAGATCAATCCAGGCAACAACACAGCAGACATTCTTGACCGGGATTCCGTGTATCCACTGCGAAAGTCGTCGGGGTCGGAATCCACAACGCACAGCCTTACGGCCTTGACAGGAAAAGACCGTTGGAGAATAAGACCTTGGACTTGCGGGCAAATTACGGCTCTTCAGCGGTCGGGATGAAGGTCGGGGGACAAGGTTGATTAAGTATGTGGCTTAGACTTACCCTCCGTATCCGCGTCCGTAGGCTCCATCTTCCAATCAGAGCGACGCCGCGACGCCGGCCGGATGGGTCTCAGCCCTGAATCCGCTCCCGTGTCCGTAGGTCCTTGTTTTCATCGGTGCTTGGCTCGGACTCGTGCTGCGCCATCCTGCCACCATGCATCCTTCCCATATGCTTATTTCTGATACCGGCGGCAATCATTAGTTAGCCTGGCCTAGCGCAACGCGCTGGCGTAGTCTGACGCGACGTATGGGCAGTGCTCGTGGGAATTAGCATTGTAAGATATCTTGGCATTTATGGTCCCCGTTGGAGTTCTGTGATTCTGGTTACTGTGCTGCGCCTTCGCCGTGATCCTAATGCCGCGCAGGCTCAAACATTTCAGCAATAGTAGCAGATATTCTGCTGCTTGTAGGCAGAATGGTGAATTGTCAATGGAGGGGATTTCGGGACATAAAGTACCATCCCGATCCCTCCATGTCGGCAGAAAAGGACATTAGATGTCAACAACCCAACATCACTGACTATTACATTGCCACAACTATCGACGTTTCCGAATCACCGTTATCTCCTTTTAGTCAAGTCCCATTACTTCCAACCACATAACCTACTTGTTGTCAACTCCATCGGCAATGGACACTTCATATGAAAACCGCGGCAAATATAGCCCCGCAAACGTGGGCGCGACCAACACCGAAGCCATCGAAATGGCCGAACCGAGTCCATCATACACTACAGACTCTAGGACAGGCCGGGAAAGCAACCTGTACCCGGACGGCCCACGTCATGCGCGTGATCACTCGACAAACCCGCTGATGAAAACAGCAAGCGAGACTTCGAGCACAGTCAATGAAGAAGAGCCCGACTTACCACTCGGCAAAGCCATCCGCCAGTACCCCAAGGTGGTTGCATACGCTTTGTCACTGACAATCATTGTCATCGGATGGGGTTACGCTCTGGTAATTGTGGGCACCATCGTTGCTGTCGAGTCTTTCCAGCATGACTACGGTGAGATCTTTGAAGACGAGTGGATTATTCCATCTCTTTGGATCTCTCTGTGGTCTGCAGCTATTCCATTAGGCATGGCGTTTGGTTCCGTCTTCTCAGGCTGGTTCCAGGACAGAGTCGGTCGTCGAGTCAGTTTGCGGACGGGCAGTATCATCTGCGCCGTGGGTGTCGCCGGCATCTTCTTCTCCTATCTCCCTGCCAATATCAACGCCATGCGATCCATGTTCTTTGCCGGAAAGCTCGTCCAAGGCCTCGCGATTGGTATCCTGAAAGTCACGGCAATGACTTACATCTCCGAAACGGCACCAACTGCCCTGCGCGCATCTGCAATGGGTTTGGTCCCCACCGGAAACCTCGTCGGTCAACTGCTGGGGTCTATCGTTCTCTTTGTTTTGAACAAGTACCCCGGGCGCTCCGGATACCTCGCCTCCTTTGGTTCACAATGGACTTTGGCTCTTGTGCCTTTCATTCTCTCCATCATTCTTCCGGAGAGCCCAGCGTTCCTCGAAGAGAAGGGACTCTCGGACCAAGCAATGGAGTCTGCGCGAAAGCTCTACGCCCCTCGAGCTGATGCTTTGAAAGCACTTCAAAAGATTAGAACCAGCATTGAGGAGGAGAAGGAGGTATCTGTGGGTGCTACATACCTTACGTGCTTCCAAGGAACCCATCTTCGCCGCACCATGATCGTCTTCATGGCCAATTTGTTTCCCGCGATGTTTGGCCTCGACCTCATCGCCAAGTCAAGCTACTTTCTTCAGACTATCGGCATGGCATCTGGTACCAGTCTGATGATTCTCATCGGTGGTATCGTCGCCGGCACCTTCGCCAATCTCGCGGGCATGTGGGTTCTCTCCCGCGTGGGCCGGAGGAAAATCACCCTCGTTTCACTGATCGTGGCCAACATCCTCTGGGTTGGCGTCAGTATCTCAGGGTTCTGGAGGGGGCCAGTCGTCGCTTACTTCACTGCTGGTGGATGTATTGCCATCATCGTGGTATGCGGCATGGGCGTGTGGCCTGCGGGCTACGCCATCATGGGCGAGACCAGCTCCTTGAGACTCCGCGCCAAGACACAGGGTCTGGGTGGAGTAGTCCAACAAGCTTCCTCGGCTGTCATGAGTATCATCCTGCCGTATCTGTTCAACAAAGACGCTGGCAACTTGGGCGCAAAGACTGGCTTCTTGTACGTTGGGCTGTGTGCTATCGCGGTCGTGCTCTGCTTCTTCTTCCTTCCGGAGATGAAAGGGCGAAGTGTGATCGAGATTGATCGCATGTTCGACTTGAAGCTGCCGGCTCGTGATTTCAAGAACTGGAGAGCTGACGAGGAGTCGAGATAGAAGATGGACGTGCCAATCTTATTTTGTGACGTTTATACGCTTGGCATTGGATAGCAGCATTGCTTGGAGTTCGTCTTGAAGGTTACAGCTTGAGATGATGGTTACGTCAATATTATGAATGTGGTGTTCATTTCCAACAAGCTGAAATTGATTCAAATGTGTCCGACTTTCCGATGTGTTTCTGAGAATTGGCAGCATGACCAGAGCGAAAAGGGGCACATCCAGTCAAAAACATGGACTAGCATCACCAAGTCGCTCGTTCTGAGCCATTTAGAGTGCAAAGCATCCTCAGAATAGCTTGTTCATTGGGCGCTCATGGTGGGAGTAAGGACCGAATCCCGATGGTCTCGTGTCTACGTTCGTCCTCAAAACGAAACTGGCAGGGAATTGCGGATCCCAGGTTGTTCGCCGACATGGAGACACACCACGCATTTTCGCTCACATGACAATGCAGCAGATGTTAGAAGAAAGGTCCGAATGTAGCGGTTCATTCGGGTCGGGAGCCGAATCCATACAAAGTCCACCAAGACCCTTGGCGAACTGGGCAGAGTCTCGGTGTTCCAACGAGAGTCTTAGAACGTCAGCCTTGGCCTCGTGGCACTCCACTGGCCAAGAGCATGCCGGCTAAATTAGAGGACTGTTTTCATTGGACGATACGCAGCCTTGTTACATGATAGACGTCTTTGTATGGTAGATACGCCGCCCAGGACACAATTGACGTCCGGGATGTAAGCTTGGAGTGCTAATTTGCCGCCCTCCCAAGGAGCTGAGCACATCTTGGGCAATCCTGCTGGCCACTCGGTACGACTGGCCCATTTCGGCTCATGTGAGACAACCTGGCTATCCCAAGAACTGAAGACGGCGAGGTCTCCCGGCGACCCGAAGCGCGTCTTGGATACTTTTCACCGGATATTTAGACCTTAGGCTCCCCACTTCGAGGTAGGTATGTGGAGAGTCAGCCCAAGCGGTCGCTCGCTTCTGATATTCATCAACACGACTTTTCGGGAAAGCCGCACAACATGGGACCGTTTTCCAAGATCAAGGCTACCAAGCCCAACAAAGAGGCCACAGTTCATGCCCAAGACGAGGCCCCTCAATTCGAACATGTCACATGGTATCGCGATCCTGGGTTGAGGGCTCTGTATTGGCATGCCTTCATCCTTTGCATTGCGTCCGCTAGTACGGGATACGATGGGTGAGTTTGCGACAAGCTATCACGACAATCTGCAACTACTCACATCGGACAGAATGTTCTTCAACTCCGTGCAGAATTTCGAGTCATGGAAGGAGTACTTTGACAGCCCCAGTGACCATCTCCTCGGGCTTCTAGCTGCTTTGTACCAAATTGGCAGTCTCGCTTCCATTCCTATCGTGTGCGACCCCACAGTTCTGACTTCATGGAAGGAGAACCTGCTGACAATACGTAAAGCCCCTACTTTACCGATCACTGGGGCCGGCGACTGCCCATCGTAATTGGTGGTGTCATCACGATTGCAGGTGCTGCACTTCAGGCCTTCTGCCAGAATATGGGAGGTCCGTTCAGAGTTATTCAACTCAAAGCCTGAACTCAGACTGATGAACTACAGGCTTTATGGGTGGACGTGTGCTTCTTGGCTTCGGAAACTCGTTCTCCCAGATGGCGTCACCCATGCTTCTTACTGAGATCGCCCACCCTCAGCATCGAGCAAGGCTAACAACCGTTTACAACTGTCTTTGGAATGTTGGAGCTTTGCGTAAGTGACCCTTAATACGACAATTTCAGACCAAATGCTGATGCATCCTTCGGGCTTGAAGTTGTTGCCTGGACGTCGTTCGGCACCAACTTCTTGAATAACCAGTGGTCGTGGAGAATCCCGGCATTGTTGCAAGCTCTGGTAAGCGTCTCATCAACTAAAAATAACTGTGATTGAAGTGCTGAATATGAGTCCAGCCATCTGTAGTGCAAGTTGTCGGCATTTGGTGTAAGTCAAATCTCGAGCCTCTTTGACACCGTACTTACGTTCTTAGGGGTCCCAGAGTCACCTCGCTACCTTATCGCCAACGACAAGCTAGACGATGCAATGGCAATTTTGGCCAAATACCACGCGAATGGCAACGTTGACCATCCGACGGTAAAGTTCGAGTACCGCGAAATCACAGAGACTATCAAGATGGAGCAGGCCGCCAAGAATCACAGTAGCTACCTCGACTTCTTCCGCACGCCGGGCAACAGATACCGATTCATGATTCTCATCTCTCTTGGCATATTTTCTCAGTGGTCGGGAAACGCGATCATCAGCAATTATACTAACATATTGTATGACAACGCTGGAATTACTGGCTCAACCGAAAAGCTCGGTGTAAGTTTCACTTGGTAGTCCTTGATTCTACATGAGCTGATTTGACATCCATAACCTAGCTGTCGGGTGGATCATCTATGGTATCGCTGATTGTATCCATTTCCTTCGCCCTCTTGGTTGACAGGTTCGGTCGTCGCCCAATTTTCTTGCTCTCCACCGGCGGCATGTTTGGCACCTTCATCTTCTGGACCTTGACCTGTGCGCTATACGAAGAATACAGCTCACCGGGAGCCAACCACGCCATGATCTTCTTCATATGGGTCTTCAATGTCGCATACGCCATCGCGTGGTCCGGGCTCTTGATCAGCTATGCCGTCGAAATCCTGCCCTACACTCTGCGAGCGAAGGGACTAATGATCTTGAACATCGCAATTCAGTCGGCTTTGACACTCAACAACTATGCCAACCCAGTAGCACTGAACTATTTCGAAGGAGAGACTTGGAAGCTCTATCTCATCTACACTGTCAGTCGAAAGTATCAGGTCTTCAGACGTGAGGTGCTAACCAAGCTGATAGTGCTGGATTTTCCTCGAACTCTGCTTTGTCTTCTTCAAGTATGTGGAGACAAAGGGGCCGACACTGGAAGAGCTCGCGAAGGTTATCGACGGATCAAATGCACAAGTTGCTCAGCTTGACATCCAGCAGATCGAAAAGGAGGCTCGTATCCACAATGGCCGCGACAGCGAGCACGCGGATGGCGCACCTCAGCTGGCAGATTCAGTGGATGATAAAGGAGTCCAGCGAAACTGATCCTCTTGGGCACTGGCTGAGATGTGAGCAGTGGATGGCTGGGGCCGATGCTTTTAGAGACCGGCAATCACCTTCCGAAGAGTAGCGTGGTGGGAAGTTGAACGTCTTTGAATTCGAAGATGCACAGCGAGTCAGAATTCATGACCCGACGCTGATGCTTGTCTAAAAATGCTTTAGTCTCTAGATAAACTTCGATCGGAATCTGAACCTAGGTTGCCGTTCAACCGAGACAGGCCTGTACCCAGATTAAAAAATGTAACCTCCTGCAGGTTCAAGCTTGAACTTTAATTGTGCCCATGTTTTCATGCAAGACGAAGCCATCAAGTCTTGTCCGACAAAAGTCCGATAAAACTAGCGACACATTGCGAATGACGTAGCGCCTACGAAGAGGGATATCGCGTTCATGGAAACAGGTCATCGCTGCCCCGGCGATTTACTTTGTACCCCATGCAGTTTTCAATGCATCGACTACCGAACTGGTAGGCCAAGCGTGTAAACTCTCCAGGTTTGCCATGAAACCTACAATGGCCTGCTGCTCGCCCTCGTCGTGAAAGTACTCCCCGCACAGAGAGATGCCCACGCCAGCCGTAACCATCGCAGGTTGGTCCCTGTGATTCGACAGCGCAAGGCCGCATATTTTGCGCGTCGCATCTCGAAGCAACTCCTCGAAAGCCTGGTTTGCCGCCTGTGCGCCGATCCCCAGTCTCTGATTCTTCACGCTATGCACCGCTAGCATGATCCTCGTCAGCTCGATGTGTTGCAGCGCCAGCACCTGGCAGTCATTCGCATGCCAGATGATGGGGAAGTAATCGCCCTTTTCAGGGTTCCGCTCTTGGTATGCCAGAGGCTTGTAGTGGGGAGGCAGGTGTTCGTCCCAGTTGTGCTCGAAGGCTTTGAGGGCGTTCCACTGCTCCACTCGGGACTTGGGGTCTTCGGAATCGATGGTGTTGTCGGACGACGTGCCGAAACAGAATTTGAGGACGTAGGCGCACCATACGAGGATTCGGTTGGCCCAGTCGAAGTCATCGGCGACCATGTCAGGTTCGAACTGGGAGCAGTCTTCGGCGCCATAGAGGGGAAGTCGGAAGGGGCGTCGGTAGAGCAGGACGGACCATATCTCTTGACGAAGGGCAATGAGGGTAGCGGAGTGCCGTAATGACGGCATGCTTGGGGCATAAATATCGGCGCCTCGCGGGGGGTGATAGACGATGCTGAAGAGACCAATGGTGTCTTCTTGCTGGGCATGGAACACAGCTTGAACCGCGCTGACGTATGTCTCGGAGTCGGAACCGGTGAGATGAGCTGCAAGAAAAGAGTCGTTAGCAAGGGCATCGCATCTCGGTGTAACTAATATTGAAACGCCCTACAGTCGACTTGTTCATGGTAACGAAGGATTGTGATAGCAGTGAGGGCATCGTCATTGCATGGATGTGCCGGATCCGTTGACGTGCCCATCAGATACGATATGCATTTGTTATGGTAGTGAATGGCAGACTCTTTGTTGAGATTTGGGAGAGGTATGCCGTGATATTCGATTACTTGGTTCGGGCCCTTGTTTGACCATAACTGAGTCAAGTATCTGGCTGCCGCTGTACATATTGCGTACATCAAGAGGGGGTTGTAGACTGCGCGCTGGGGCACCACGAGGACATAATGACGATCTCGGTCGGTGGTATCGAACTGGATGTGACCAAATTGAGTGAGCACTTGTAACGGATTGGAAGTAAAGGGACACGTCATGATTCGCCTTGAATGGGGATCATGGCGAGACAAACATACAGCTGCAGCAAGATTCTCAATGAAGCATCGGATCAGGCATCCCTCCTGCAACCCTAGTTGCGGCGTCTCACTGATGCTGCCTGCAACTGATTGAGATTCGGCATTCGGATCTTCAAATACTGGTGACTGGTATTGCGAGAGCAAACTTGGTCGTCTCGGTCGCCCGTTGACGATAGCTCTACTCCATCCTTCAGGTATCGAGCGAGGAACTGACGGGCTCGGTGCAGATATGCTGGTGTACGGCGTGCTTATGCTCGAGGAAGGGGTTGCGACCGGTTGGAAATTGAAGAATGACGCGTGTCCATGGCTCGAGTCCGCGGTGCCATTGGATATCTGGGTTCCACCCCCTAATCCGATGTCGAAGATTTCAGCTTCAGCTGGTGACGACTGATGCGATCGTGCCTGAGCATTAGGCGACAATTTTGTGGCGATACTAGATGATTCTGACTGGGTACTCGGTCCGCCTTGCGAGAATGATTGCAGAGCCTCGGCTGCTGCCGTGAGTTGGTCGGCTGCTTTGGGCTGTGCCACAGTGATCGAGGGTTCGAACGTCGGTTGGTTGGGGTTTGGAGGAGGAGGTATTGGTTTGCTTTTGAGGGCCTTGCTGGACTCGTCTACGATAGCGAGAGGCTTCTGTGTATCTGCGTGTTACAAAGCCGGTGTCAGAGTCCAATCCGGTAGATATCAGCAGAAAGGCGTTTCTAGGAAGGGTCTTACCACCACTTGCACTTGCGTGCAGCCACGGTTGATTCACATCGAAGGAATATTTCTTTTCTGACGCGACCATGCGCTTGAACCTGAAGCGGTTACTCACGCGTACGCAGTGAGATTCTGACTTCTTGCACCCAGAGCATGGTGTCTCGCCATCACCTGCGGTCGACCGTCAATATCAGCAACTCCTTGGACTGGATATGCTTGGCCGTGTCGCCAAGACAAACGTAGGCCAATGAGACGGGGACCATTCGCAATAACTCACATTTGAGGTGTTTTTCTATGTTCAATCAGGTTAGCCGGGTATGCTCGATGACCACACCTTCAAGCGAGAAAACGGGGGGCGAAGACGATAAGACATCCATCTCTCCGTGATGTCCGCGGACAGCGCGGACCACCATCATGACATGACGGACGAACAGAAACAGCCACATTGGAGGATGGGAAATATAAGATCAAAATACCACATACCTCTGCATTTCCCGCACGGCACGATCCGTTCGCGTCTCTGTGGTGGAGCCATTCCCGCCCTTCTGAGCAAGGCATCATACCATGGCTGAGGCAAAGAAAATGTCGAGGTGGCCCAGGAAGGAAGCAGTTCGCCGACAGCATCCGTTGGCGTGGGGCAGTGCGGAACATATAAAAAGGGCATAAAGAGGACATTACTCGGCGAAGTGGGCGCCTAGCGGCTCTAGATGGCTTTAGCTTCAGCGACCAATCCCTGCTCATCCAAGGCCTCCATCTGGCCGTCTTTAGGGCACGTTAAGAATGGTTTTGTCCTGGGAAGGGGATGTTGGCGGGGGAGTCGAACCCCGCACTGCAAGTCTTTACAGCGTGCGTTTGATTCTGACACTAAGTCTCCAACGCAGTGTTGGCTGTGGAGTAAGCATGTAGAAATACGTGTGAAAAGTTGGGACGTGTAAGCTGTCCGCGGGATCCACGGCGGTTATCTCCTAGCAAATTCTTGAATGCCATGATATCATTTCCCCTGCTTTGCGATTACGAACCTCAGGAAGTTGGATTTTGGTGTTTTTAAGTGCTCTCTGATAGTCATGTGGCATCTGGAATGCATCTGGTATGACAGCTCACAAACCTTAAGGCTCTGGAGCAGGCGGTATGACGAGTCTGGCCCTTCAGCTCTTCAGCTTTAAGATGGCTTCACGATCGACGGGCGAATCTTCATCTCGGTCTCGTTCACGCATCGTGTCACACGGGTATCGGCATGGCTAGGAAACTTTATTTCATAAATCGAATACAACCTCGGATGCGGCAGGGCTTCCGCACCGTCCACGTCTACGGCATACTGGAGACCTGATACTTCGGATCGGTCCAGATTTCCTCCACAATGCGCCTGCGGATATCCTGCTCCTCCGCCACACTGTGATCTCCGAACAGGGCGGAGATCTGCTCCAGAGACTTATGGGCCGTCTCAGGAACCATGAAGAAGGAAAAGACACCGGCTGCAACGCAGAAACACCCAAAGAAGAGATAGGTCCCCCAGCCAATCTTGATCAACATCTCCGGAACACAAACTCCGATGATGAAGTTAGCCAGCCAGATAATGGCGGTTGCAGCTCCAACACCCTTGGCGCGCTTCGAGTTCGGGAAAATCTCTGCGGGCAAGGTCCACGCCAAGGGGCCATAAGATGTCGCGTAGCAGAGGACGTAGATATCTGTGAGCGATGCGAGTCAGTATTCTACCAGTCGTTCATGATTGCTACGAGAAAGGGGCAGGGTTTCTCACAAATTAGGGCAACGCCGAGCCAGCCCATGGCGGGATGCTCGTCCCAGCTGCTGTTGAACTTGCCGACCACGCCTGCCATGATGAGATGGGGAACAGCCATGGCGAAACCACCTCCGATTGCGAGCTTTCTGCGTCCGACTTGATCGAGGAACAAGAAGGTCGGGATGCCGGCGATAAGCTGGCAGATGTTGACCATACCCGATAAAATCAGGGGCATGTCTCCCTTCTGGCCAAGGGCAGCAAAGAACGTGGGGGCGTAGTACACAAACGCGTTAATTCCTTTAAAGAGAGGCGTCAGAGAAATATTTCTTAGATCTTGTGGCAAAATGTTATCGTACCTGAGAATTGCTGGAAGAACGGGATTGCGAGGGCAATGGTGGTGGGCTTCAAGTACCGAGGTCTGAAAAGATCCGCCCATTGCGCAAGCTCGGCCGTGAAGGCGTTGGTGCTCGGGTGGTCGCGAGCCACCATTGCCTGCTGAAATCGCACCTCGGATAGGATTCCCTTCCACTCGGCCTGCACACGCTCATCGGATACGGGTACGCGGCGGAGCTTGGTCAGGGCCCCGAGACTGTCCTCGTCACGGCCAACCATCGCGAGCCACCGCGGAGAGAACGGGAAGAAGTGGATGCCAAGGCCCACCATCAGCGCCGGAGCCATCTGCAGAGCAAAAGGGAGCCTAAAAGCCCACTCTCCGGAGATGCTTCTCGTGCCGAACGTGATCCAGTACGCGACAATGGCGCCTATGACGATGCTGATGGACTCGAGAACGAGAAGGGAGCCTCGCAGGTTTGGAGGCGCAATCTCAGAGATGTACAACGGCGCACCCATGGCCAGGGTCCCGACACCGATTCCGCCGATAGTACGGCCGGCGACCAAGGTGCCATAGTTATGGGCCGCGGTTTGGATGATGGCGCCGACGCAGAAGAAGAATGTGGCGATCGTGAGGGCCCATTTTCGGGAGATCTTATCGGCGAGGTATGGGAGAAACAGGCAGCCTATGAAAGCTCCGAACTCAAGCATGCCAGTCATGAAGCCGGTGTTGAAGCCGTATCGCGGATGGTCGGGGGACGTTTCGGGGAATTGGTCGTGGAACTGGGGCATGACCAGGATGATTGAGATGACACCCTGATCTGACGCGCTTGATTAGACACGATCTTTGCATGGCGATTCTGCCACTTGTGAGTGGACGTACCGTAACCGAAGGAGAATCCACCAAAGGAGGCCAAGAGAGCGGCCCCAAGTACGTATGGGGACCGCACGATGCCCTTGATGCCATCAACATCGTAGTTAATCGGCGCGTCAGCCTGTGCTAAGATGTTTGCGTTAACATCTTCAACTTGACTGTGAGCACCGCTGCGCGACTGCGTCTTTTCGAGGTCGGACATGACGGATGATCGTCCGTTGCAGAGAAACAGCCAGCAGACAGGGGAAAGTTGAGGAAAGGATGCAGGGCTCGCAGTCCGAGGCCTCGGAGAGTGATGATGGATGGTCTAGATGAGATTTTCTCTGAACCCGTGTCGAGCACAAGATGAGACAAGACATTTGAATAGCTTCTTAACTCATCTCTTTATACTTTGGCCGATGTCCCTAACTATCAACTTCAACATCCATGGCGACAGCGGACATGGTCAATGCCGCCGGCCAATCAGGGTAGAGGCAATGTCAAGGGCGAACTGTTTTGGAAATTCTCAATTCTTGGAGAAAGAGACAGCCGGGAGCTAACGTGCTTCCCCCACGGGGTAGACTGCCTGTCAATTGCCTGCGGTCACACATCCCGGCAATTCATTCGTGCTCTATTTGGAACCGGAACAGGGGGGTGAATCATCTTGCAGACTGAGGACATCACGGGTGGGGAAGGGAAGACTGCGAAAGAGTTAGTCCAAAAGATCGACTCGCCAAGTTCAGATGGCCGAATGTCTGGCCCATAGCGCGTGACGTGCCTTGCCCGGGGGCGTTCCATGGTGCGGATGGATCATCCAAAAGAGGAGCGAATTCGCCGGCGATTCGGCGAGTGACTGCCCAATTGGGATCGGCTTCACAGTCTACTCCAACTTCCCCGCAAACCATCCTGAATCTAAACATGGATTGTTTCTGCCAACCAAGACATGCACTCCAGCCTCAGAAGTGTCATGTTTGACCTTGTCATTCTGGCGATGGCGCTAGCTCTTATCAGCAGTAAAATCTGGGGCGAGCTGTCATCTGCGTCTGGAGCAGGTTGGGGGGTCTATCACACGCACGCCTGTATCCCCGGAGCGCAACAGGCTAGCCAGACCAATCCCTCGAAATTGCGTCCGCTCGTACAGTCGAAAGGCATAATGCTTCAGTACTTTGCGACAAGAACGGCATTAACTTCTCTTGCCGAATGTCCTCCATGCCATCGGAGAGTCGGAGATGGCGATGTAGAGCCTACCGTCACGGTAGCAGCTGATATGGAAGCACGACCAATGACGGAGTTAATGCTGCGTCAGACCTTCCCCGCAAGACCTTTTGCTTATCTATGAGTCTAGCATATGGCGTCGGTTCAGTCTGAATATTGAGCACAGATACGAAACTACCCCAGGTCCTAGCTGACAGTCATGGGCTATGGGCCACCACGGAACGCTTTGCCTAGTTAGATGGAAGTATCTGATTCTTGCTAGATTGCAACTCACTGGTGATTTTTCCCGGTGGAGATTGTGGCCGTTCTATTCTTGATCACGGCTTACTCGATGGTAAAGCTCGGGAGGAAGACTTGTTGGGGAGAAACGGGAACGGCAGGTCTACCGTCGAGGTTGACGGTCACGCTGAGTGCGGTAGGCTTTGCATGATGGACATCGCAAATGTATTCCCCCCCGTAATATATCGAGAACAGCAGAGATATCTAGAAGTCCGATTCATATTTGAGGTTGGTTTAAAACATTCATAGTGCTTCAACTTAGATAGGACTTGCTGATGAATACAGCTCAGCAAGAACACATCAACATCTCAGCACCCAGAAACTCAAGAGTATGCAAGGGGAGTCGCCATCCAGGAGTCAGTGATCTCACAAACAACAATCGTATTTCTAAGGTGTTTATTGAAATAGCTACTTGGTTTCAATTTCAACAAATGAGACTTTATCACATCACTCGAGTTTCCTTCGCCAAATCTTAACCGGCATTGGCCCGCAAATGATGTTGAAAGCCTCAAATCTCTCCAGCTTGAAGTCAGGAGAAGGCAACGCAAACTCATACCGATGGACCAGTGAGGCCAGCATCATAATCTGCTCCAAGTACGAAATGTTCCTGCCAATGCAACCACGCGCCCCGGTCGAAAAGGGGATGAAGTACGGCTCCATGCGCTTTCTCTCCTCGGGGTCTAGCCACCTCGTCGGCTTGAAGGCTTCTGGGTCAGGGAAGATTTTCGGATCACGGTGCGCTCCATAGATGGTCATCGAGACACTGGTGTCGCCAGGAATCCACTCATCCAGAATGCGAGCCCCCTCCGGAGGCGTGCGACGAGGCAGTGGAGCTGATGTGGGCGGGATGAAGCGGAGGGCCTCGTCGATGCACGCCTTGAGAAATGGGAGGTCCTTGACTTTGTCGTAGGGAGCGATCACCTCTTCAGGTTCCAAGACGCTATCAACCTCCTTGCGAAGTCTTTCCATGTACTCTGGATACTGGATCAAAAGCTCCAGAATGTGCGTCAGAGCGATGGCTGTGGTGTCTGATCCAGCATTGATGATGGCGCCGACCTCGGCCACAAGCTCACCCCATTCGAGGTTGTTGGGGGAGCCAGTCTTGTCTTCCATCATGCAAGAAAAGAAGTCGTCCAGCTTTTCACCGGCTTGGTACTTCCTAAGGCGCTCCGCAGCAGCATGGTAGTACACATCATCCCAGGGCTTGCCATCCTCCCAAATCTTCTTATACTTGCTGGGGACAGACTTGGTGATCCACTCAATCCAAGGCCAGAGATTGTAGTCCCAAACGAACACCGCTTGGGCAATTGCTGTCTGGTTTTGAGAGTGGCGGTAGCGAGCTTTGTATGTGCTTCCATCTCGCCTCTCAGCCGTGACAACGTCCGTTCCGGTATCAAGGAGATCCATCTTCGAGGATAGGGTGATGAAGTTGATCGCCTCAATCGTCCAGAGGTTGATCCAGTGGTTGAAGTCGACGGTGAGATCCTGAGGCTCGGGGATTGTGCCTTTCAAAGGCTCGGTGCATTTCTCATCGAATGCCTTGAAGAGGCGCTCTGCGGTGTACGCGACCTTGTACTCCCACTTCTCGAGATTCTTGATGGCGAAAGCGGCTGACAGCAACTTGCGCTTTCGGGCATGGTCCGGCTTGTCAACAACATCGAAAAGATGCCTGTGGCTTCCACTAAGAACAACGTAATTGTTGTCCTTGACGCACTTGGTGCTGTGGCCGTAGATGTCTTTGATGGCCCGTGTGTCACCAAAAGATAAGGCATTGGGACCAGTTCTCAAGATTGGCAGTCCTGTTGCCTGATGCGTCTCATGCAGCTCCTTGGAACGGAAGCCTTGAGCTGTGAGATAGCAGTGCCTCAAATCCGTGAATGGTGACAAGGGAGAATAATTGGGGTATCTGCGGAGACCCTTAGGGTCGTAGAAGTAGAGGAGGATAGGTCGAATGACGAGGTAAGAAAAGGCGGCGAGGGCCGCAAGCCCCGCGGCGAAATAGCCTAACATTCTAACTTCAGGATCTAAGTGAAGATGACCTTCAGATCAAAGAGGCCGAAGTGAAGTCTATGGTTTGTGGTTTCCAAAGAGTGGCATCGTGAGCAAGAGTCTTATACTCAATCTTCGTGAAAGGATTACACACAGTCATATCCAACAATCCTACAGTATCCTCAACACCGTTGACAGACTGGCCTCTACCCTGTTTCGTTCCCAGAACCCGCGGGACTGCATCTCTTGCATAATCCGCGGGGAACTGTCTTACCAGTCGATCAGAGAGATCGGATACCGAGCAAAATGTAGAAGTCACACGTCAGAAAGCCACAACGGGCAAAGGATGTTACTCAGTTTCGCATTGAAACGGGAATTCATTCGCCGAAAGCTCGGGATCCGGGTCTTAGGCATCTGTCTTTGGAAATGACTCGCCGGATACCTTCCATATTAAGCGAATGTCCCAAGATATCGTCAACCCTTTTTGAAGCCAAGTCTGATCGATGTGCGGCTGACGGACCCCGCATGCGGGGAAGTCATCTTCCCCGTGGGGTTGGGGCATGGTTTCGGGTCCAGAGTGACATTAATATAGATCGACGTGACGTCCTGGAGTGAAAACCGGCGAAAGATTGCCATTTTGGTAAACGGCACTTGTGTAAAAGTGGCAAGGAATATCATAATACAGTGATTGAAATCATGGCTTATCTCGGTGTTCGGAAAGTGATCGTGGTATTGCATAGTGTCTCTCATTTGTATCTAGGTTGGAAGGGATCGATAAAGTTATCTTACCAGAATGTTCTCCCGTTGATGCCAGAAGGTAAATAGCAATCCACTTGCTTTTGTCGACTATTGTCGTCCAGCTTCTCTCACGAGCAAAGTGCGGATTCCAACATGGCTACCTCTTTCACTTCCAAAAATACTCAAAATCGGCTTTTGATGGATGCTGTCGATATCTTGTCCAGGCAGGCCACCTACGATGACTGCTTTCTCCTCCCTTTAGTTATCTTGGGATCCCTCTTCGTCTTCAACAGAGGGAGCATCCTCCCCAAGACTGACCCGTATCACCATAAATGGTTCTGGAAGCCCCAGGAGTCTACGGGCGGCAATGCCACTCTCACAAAACGAACCAGAAACATCGCAGAGAAGATTGGAGAACTCGGATCTGACCTCGTTGTTTTCTGGGGTTCCCAATCTGGCACTGCTGAGGGCTTTGCCCAACGTCTTGCACGCGATTTCCACCAACGCTTCAAGCTGAATGCTCTTGTGGCGGACCTGTCAGACTATGACGCTGAGACCATCGCTCGCATACCGGAGTCGAAGCTTTGCATCTTCATCATGTCCACCTACGGAGAAGGTGATCCTAGTGACAACGCTCAGGAGTTTGTCAGTTGGTCCTCCAGAACGACCGGCGTATCTCTTGGACACCTGAAGTACGCTGCCTTTGGGTGTGGAAACAGCAACTATCGATACTACAACAAAGTGATTGACGTCGTTGTTGCGGCTCTTACAAGCTTCCGTGCAACGGCAATTCTGCCCACTGGCAAAGGCAACGAAGCCACCAGAACGACCGAGGAAGATTTCATGGATTGGAAAGAAAGCCTCTTCAAGACGCTGGTACACGACTTTGCCTACAAGGAGTACGATATGGAGTACGAGCCCAGCATCGATGTTATTGTCGACAAGTTGGACGAAACCAAAGCTTTTGTTGGAAAGCCTTTCTACAAAGCGACTTCCAAGAAG